ACTAAGTCTGGGAAAGGTGTACCTAGTACTCAAATGCAAGTATCTGTCAGGAGGTGCACTATGAAAAGAAGGATCTCCAGTTATTCTGCGTTTGGGTCTGTTTAACCAATGAGGAAGCTGCAAACACCCTGGCTCTTGGCTCTCCTGTGTCACACGAACCAGGCTCGGCCAAGAGTAAACCTGAGCCTCTGCTTGTTTCCAACATGGTGGGGGACCAGAGACGGCAGTGAGGATGAATGCTCCCCACAATCAGGCAAAGACATGAGCACCCTTTTAATCAAAGTTCCTAAAATGTTTTTCCACTGGAAAACTATGTTGTTGGGCTGTCAGTCAAAAGTGACCTGGAGAGAGGTGGCAAAGGGGAAATGCCACCTTTGGGGTGGACCGTGGGCAGAGAAGACCAGCCAGAGAGAATTCTTTCAATGAACAAAGGCTGTTTCTAAAAGGTTCTGGGTGGAAGGCAATTTACACAGAAAATACTCTTCCCTGGGAAACCTCAAAAGGAGATGTCTCTGTTGGCTTCGATCAACAGCCAAGGTTGTCTCTTAAAGCAGAGATACCCAGACGTAGCCAGAGCCTCCCCCTAAGAACTCAGGAATGTGGTTTCCAGTACAAACAAGAGATGAAATGGCCGAAATAGAGCTGGAGCATATCCAAGCACTCCCTCCATCCTGAGTCATTTGGAAATGGTTAACAAATGGGTTAGACACCTGGGCTGATTACCCCTGCAGGGGATTTCCACACACACCCCACACTGTAAAATCATCATCCTCTTCCTTCTCCAACAATGCAGTCCAGGCACACCCTCTGGAGTGTGCCCCAAAGATCCCAAGTTCCTTAAGTTGGCTGCTAGGCTTCCTAAGTAGCAACTGCTGCTGACATGAAAAACACCACAAACAAACAAACAAACAAACAAAAACCCAAACAAGGAGCCAAGCAACTTTTTGCTTTTTAAAAGTTTGTTTCCAATTAAGACGAACAGATGTCTAATGTTTGAAAAGGCCACACATTGGTGGGTTTGGCTGATAAACCCTCTGCATTTCATCTTTCCCATGGTCATCCAGCCTCCTGCCACTGACTCACTCTCTCTGGGCCATAGTTCGGGCAAGTCTCCTTACTACAGTATTCCTGACCTCATATGATTCCGGGGGTTCTGGGTGGAGAGAGGGGGCCATCCAAACGCCTCCCCTATCCCTTTTAAAATCTGGTAGAATCTTTAGAAGTGTTCTCCCCACCCGCTTATCCCAGCACCACGCAGTTCTAAAGGCAATGAGTAAGCAGCTATCCAGAACAGGTTTTTGTATATTCCAAGAGTGCTGCTTAAATATGCAAATATGTGGTTTACTTCCTTAGATTCAAGGCCTCACCCCCAAGGCAAATGCATTACCTCAGGTGAACTTGGCTTTGCTGGGAAGAGGAACAGGAATCAAAGTCCTGTCTACCAGACACAAGTGAGTCTTCCTTCAGTTACTTTTAAAGTACGCTGTGTACTTTTCTGTCCTCATCTTTGTGAAGAAAGGAACAAAAAAACCACCTTTCAAATGCAAATGTTTTGTGAAAAATCACATACCATGAGATGCTTTGGTGGATCTGAGTTAGAGATGGCTTACAAAAATTATTAAATTTCTGCTTTGGAATATTTTACTTTTCCTAACATATAAAAAACATGATTATAAAAATGAACCTGTTTTGTGAATGTTTCCTAATAGGAAAGAAACTTTCAGGTATACTGAACACTCTTAAATACTATCTATATTTTGTGTGGGTGATTAAAGCCTATTTACTTGGGAATTTTTTTGGATGTTATAGAGGAAGTTTTTCTAACAGGGTATTATAACACCCTCTCCCCAAGGCAGTATTCTTTATCATGAAAATAAATTGGAAAATGACAATATTTTAAGGTAGTTTTAAAAGTGATTTTCAATAATTTCGTACCTTGGATTTTCCTTTTGTGCTTACTAAATGAGTGAAATGCTTTTTACTTGCTTTGTAAGGCTGATGGAGAGGATCTACCCCCAAATGAGGGCATATACCCAGAGAATTACATTTTTAAGAAGTGAATAATATTGTGACATTTTTGCATGTGCACCAGATAATTTCTTTGATGAACTGAAAAGTAGGAACACTAGATTTTGTATCCAGTTTAATCCTTAGACAACTTGCACAGCTTTATTTTTAAATATTAAGGTCACATGTAAATGACAGAAACCTAAACCATCATTAACATGAATTGTTATTGTACATAGAGGGTTTAAAAATAAGAGTCTACATGGAATTAACTGCAGAGTGAAAACCAGATGTCGGTGATGCATTGTGAAATCACATTTGTCAAAAACCTGCTCCCCAAGGATTTCAGGGATTCACTTTTTTTTCCCCAACATCAACCTTTCAGTTAGCACTTAGTGTTTCCAAAGAGCACAGGTTTCAGAGGTTATAAATTGGACTCAGTAGATTGCTCATACTTCTTCAGAACTGCAGGCAGATTCGATTGGTAGTGCAACTCCCCACACCACTAGAACTCCCATTATCTCAGAGAACCTTAAATATTTTCTTTAACTTCCTGCTCTATTTGTACTCAATGAGTCCTTGAACTGAATGACTAGTGAAAATAGAAGAATTCATGTTCCCTTGAGAATGCTAGAGACCCCAGGGCACACTGGGAAGACAGGATGAACTTGTGTGGGTGTATTCTGTGCTCATCAACTAGCATATTTATTTATGCTTTGAGAATGGGGCTAGATGGCTCCCTTTCTTCTAAAGCAGCCTCAGAGAAGACACCTCCAAGTACTTATATGCACAGAGAATGTAGACAATAGTATAAACGGATATTCTGTGCTGCTTGATGGCCACTGAAGAGGACATAACATGGCAAACGTTTAAGGGAAAAAAAATGAGACTTTTATACAAAGCACAGATAAAATCAGAAGAATTCCCAAACTGTTTTTTAATTTGCAGAAGTGTAAAATCATCCATTTGCAAGCTTCTTGGCTTCCCATCAGCTGGAATTAACTAGGTAGGTATATCTGTGGATCACATGAAAATAGCAAAAAACAAAACAAAAACAGAAGGATCTCATACTGCTCCGGGTGAACTTTACCTGAACATTTAACGGAGGAAAAGAGGAGAGTTGTTTTACAGTTGTTTGTAAAGCAAATTCATTTTAAAGATAGTGAATGGTTATCATAAGTCAAATGCATCAACCCGTCAGATCTTCAGTACATGAAACCGAGGTTTTCTTAATACCCTACCTAAAATTAAATGCCAATTTCAAAGATTTCATGGAAAAATACAATTCATCTTTGTCCCCTCTTTTCTTCAAACACACACAAATGTAGATGAAGGAGATGAAGCATGACAACGAGAGAAGCTAACCTAGAAAGTGATATCCGAAATATTTCTGTTAACATGACTATTTTAAAAAAGCAATTACATACTACTTTTCAAATTAGGTCAAGGAGGAAAGAGTACTGCTAAAAATTTGTGGCTGGGGGCAACAGGGAAGAGACTGTTCAGAAAACCACCATCTTTTCAAAACCTACAACGAAGGTTAAGCGTCCTTTCACAAAAGGTGGGTTACTGTGTATTTAGTTGGAGTTATGGAGACTAAACCAATTTTCCATAGTCTCTCTCCATATTGCTTCTATATTGTGACATACAGACTCAAAGTGTCCCTAGACATAAAGACCAAAGTTTTTCTATCTTAAATCATGATGCCGGGCAATGTTTGAAAAATGGAACATTTGATATGGATGGTCAGATGATAGATACCAAAATGTCAGACAGCCCATCGACTGCTGTTGCCATGAGATTCAACAGTCAACATCAGTCTGATAAGCTACCCGACAAGATGGTACAGCCATGGAGATGTCACGACGATAGGCAAGACAAGCAGACGTTCAGGCAGGATTTGATAAAACAAATTAGGCACCTCTGCCCTTTTGAGATGAAACCAAATCTATTTTCAATACAGTGTTGGCTACTAAATTTCCTAAGGGGAGAAAAAGGGAAATTATTGTTTATTTTCCTTCCAAGCAAACAAAAAGGACCAGGTTCGACCAGTTACATCCCATAGGAAAAAACATTTGCATAGCATGTAAGTATAAAACACAAGAATGCAGGAAAATTGGGTTATATATGAAAATACTATGTTAAAAATAAGAGCACATACAGTTAAATTAGTTTCGTTCGAGAATTAATTTCTCCAACAAGACAAAGCATGTCTTAAAAACCCAGTAATATCTTTTTCTCCCCAGTGTCCTCTAATGATGCCATAGTGTGAGCTCTCACATGCAAATAAATGGTTAAGAAACCCTGGCTGTAGGTGGATCTGGCAAAACTGCCAATCAGTAATCGTCAATGGCAGAACCAAAAACGTTTTGGGGTGGGGGGGGGGAATCAGCGCTCAATAAAACGGACACAATTTGGAATGATCAAAGATGTCTTTATAAAGTTTTTTCTTGACTTCATTCTAAATGTACAGAATAAAAAATGGCGTCAACTCATGAGACACCAACCAGATTTTCCTTATACTGTCTTAAAATTTAAAGATCAACTTCCTGAAAGGGTGTGCAATGCATCATAAAACGGCCCTTTTTTTAAAAGGGTAGGAGGGGAAGGGTTGGGCACGATGGCATATTAAATTTTACCATGATAGACATGCAAGACTTAGCCAATCTAGTATAATTTATATACATTTTGATGAATTAGAATAAGAAAGCAATCATTTGAACAAGCTAAAAAGCTTGACATACTTAGGAACATTTCTTTTTCAGTGGCAGGAATTCTTTAATAGTACTAGGTGGATCCTTTGAACGTAACAAATAGAGAAGGCCAGTTTCTGTTAAGCTGACTGCTGGACATCATACTCCACCCGCACAAAATACAATTTGGATTGAGTTGGGGGTGGACACCTTACCTTAACACACAAAGGAGAAATATGTCAGTGAAAAATTTGGACTAAAATGCTTTCAGGAAGAAATTTTTAAGACTTGCTATCAGTTGGAAAAGGGACTTTCCCTCTCTCATCTGGAGTCCTCCCAGGTAAGGTAGGCCCCAGTCATTCTAATTTCTGCAGTTAAAACTTTCTTTGCTTATTTAGTTTTTTCCTCTGAGTTCAACCGCTGTTGGAGTCGTTTTGCATAACTTTGTGCCATGGAGTTAATGATGGACAGGACGAAGTAAAACACCATGACAATGACCAACTTCTCAAACATCCAGGACAACCAGTTTTCTCCCTGAAGGAATAAATGCAGAAAAATGTAACAAAAAAGATTTAATCAGTCTAGTAGTAAAAAGAGTTTCAGTTAAAATATGGAAAAGAAACAGAACTTGGAACTTCTAGTACAATCTAACAACATATAAGGTCTAGACAAAAATTAAAGAGAAAAGGAAAAGGTTGAATCCCTAGCTTGCGCTGAAAAGTGCACGCATCCCTTTCAGGCTTTTCAGACCCAGATATAAAGATCTACCTTTCTTGGATATAGATAATGTTGATTCATATAATTTGGATTGGTTTAAGAGGTCCCTGCTAATCTTTCACAATGAAAAGAGCCACTGATTAAACCACTGGATTTCTAAAGACAGTGGCTCCACTTTCTAAAGTCCCTGACCAGATTCTTGCAGAGTTCTGTTTTTCGCTCAGTATGGGGAACAGCTTTTAGAATAGAAATATATCTGCTTTTGAAGTCCTGTTTGGTCAAGTGAGGGCAGCAAAGGGCTGCATGAAAGGTTTAAAATACAACTGTGCTTCCTTGTAGCTTCCTATTTCAGGTTATTGCTTACTCATTCTCTTCCAGACATTTCCTCTCGCCAAAGAACTGTTTACAGAAAAGGCAGTCTCAGGGTCCTATCTAAGGTTTTTAAGTTTTATGATGTTAAATACCTTGGTTTGTAAAGAAATATAAACCCATATCTCCAAAACAAAATAGAGTAAAAATGAAAGGATTATGGTCAAGTGACTTCAGAAAATTCAATACTTTCATTACGTTGTAAAGTTGAACTTATTTGGGGAGTATACTTGAAATATAACTTCACATCTGCTAATAATACACTTACACTTCAGGTTAAATCAGGAACTCATTATACTGAACAGAGCTATAATTTTCCATTAGTCCATCTTGTGGGAGAAGACCCGAAATAGTATCTACATTTTCTGTTTTTAAGATTCCCATCAGAGATTAAATAGAGCCTCAAATCCTGTTAAGACTAGTAAATAAGGAAGGGTCTCTCTGGTCAGACCACAAATGTTAAAGTAATTTTCAGCCTGCAACCGCCAGCCCGCAGGAAGAAAGTGGAGAAAGGTCTCACCTGTGGGGTGCCCATTTCACTTTTGTGGTGGAGTTTTTGACGCTGAGCTTCCAGGTATTCCTGGAATGGCTTCTGTAGAGAAGGACCAATGCCCGGGACAGCACTGGAGACAGGGTAGAGGAGCCCACGGAAGAGGATATGTTTGGAAAGAAAAGCAGAAAGAATGTTAAGTAGGAAAATTCACTTACCGCCTCGACTCAGAAAGCAGGGATTGGATAGAGCGAATAAAACAGAACCAGCAGAGTTGGCAAAACTCCGGGAACTTTTTCTTCGCCCATACTAACTCTCCCTTTAAACACCCCTTAAAGAGAAATCTCTCCCATCACAAAGTGGGAGAAACGAGGAGTTCTAAGTCAGGAATGCTCTGTAGCAGAAGAGAGCGTCCTCAGGGAGGCCAGGTGAGCTGATGCCTGCCGCACACCGGAGTGGTACAAAGACTCAAATGAATGACTTCTGAAAAGTCCCACATTTATCACCAACAGTTCCTGTAAGAACTGGTTTGAACCGATTAATAAGGAAATGACTTATGCTTGTGTCATCCCTAGTTAAAAAAGAAACTGCCCCCCCTCTTTCTGACTTGTCTCATCTTCTCAAAGGGGGCGGTTCTTTCTCAGTCTAAGTCCTTATTAGGACAATCTGTGCGTCATCCTTATCCAAAAAGAATGTATTAGCAAATTTGGGAGGTACCTCCCACTAGTCAGAAGTCAGTGATTAACAAAGGAACAAAGAAGGAACTCTGAACCTTGAATCACTTCATGGTTTATGGTAGATGATTTGCACAGAAACTACAGTACATTACTAAACAATTTGTTCTGAGACGACTGGGATAGTGATCTCAATCAAAAGTGTGCTTACCGGGAGCTCCCTCTCACCTAGAACACAGGGAGGCAGGGCTGAGAAACTGGTTTGACAACTAAACTACTCATTGGTAGTTACCTCTTTAACTGGCTTACAGGTGTTAAACCTCCCCCCCCCCCAAAAAAAAAACCAATCTCGGGGAGGCAGTCTTTGAGGCTGAGACCCATTGCCCTTCACAGACCCGTAATAAAGTACTTTTAGTTAAACCTCCCCCCCCCCAAAAAAAAAACCCAAACAAAAAACCCAAACACAGTAACTTGGGGCAACTCAGAAAGTTAAGCATTTCTATTTTCCCTGTCCTTTCTTTTCTCATCTGTTATACTAATAGGATTGTGAGCAAATGGGTTCAATCCCTTTCCTGAGTCCTGGAAAAGGTAACAGTGTACTTCTTTTTAGACAACCTGGTAGCTGTTTCTGTTAGAAAAAGCAGAAGAGCATAGGAAAAAATATGTTTGCTAGCATATGTTAGAAGCTAAAATGACTGATAATTTTATTATCTATTGATGAAAGTTCAAGTGTTCAGGTCTTTCGTTCACAGGGTCATCTATGAATCAATGACACTTAATAACAACATTAACCAAATACGTGAATGGCGTTTCTATTTTGTGCCCAATGTTGATGGTGTCATAACGAAAATGCCAAAAAGGAATTTATAGGGGCAAACAAATCAATGTGGGACACACACACACACACACACACACACACACACACACACACCAGCACATACACAAATGATTTGTGAGCCAAAAAACCTATGATTCAGAACTGATTTCTAGAAGACCCATTTAACAACCAGAAGAGCAGGCTTAAAGGGCAGAGTCTCTTAACCTACAATCTCCTCTTTTCTGTTTGATTTGTTTTTAACTTTCATATATTATTTGATTGAGTTTTCTTATGAAGTTTACATAATAACTTAGATTCCCACTGGACAATTTCCATGCAAAATTTTCAGTGGCATTCATTACATTTATCACAATACATCAAAATTCTCTTCACTTACACGCAACTTGTTTCCTTCCCAGTACTTATTAGACTTTGCCTGACACTTTATCTACTTATTTTTGGTTTTCAGTAATCGTTTACCTTTTGTTCTCATATTGTTGTTTATTTGGGTTGTTTTTTGGTTGTTTTCTTTTTTTAAAAGTGTTGTCACTGAATTGATTCTGACTCCCAGCTACCCTAGAGGACAGAGTGGAACTGCCCCATGTGATTGACTTTTAAGTTAAGTAGAACAAAAGAACTGTACTGCTGCTGAAAATAACAAAGAAATAACAAGTACAAACTTTCTCTTTGGAAGAGAGATATTCTGTCTCTCCATTAAGTAATGAAGAATAATCTTTTCTTAAATAATGCACGTGAAAATGTAAACCGCTCATCCATTTACACATCCAGCAAACACAAGCATTGACAGACAGGCTTTAAGACTGAAGATTTTTTGTGGGGGGAAAGGGTGGGTACGGAAAAAGTGCAACAATGAATGACTGGAAACCCTAAGTCTCTGTAAACTTTCATTAAAAGAAAAAAATTAAAATAAAAAAAAAGATTGAAGATTTTAAAGAAATTCATTAATTTTGAAAATAATACTGTATACCATAATTAATTTTAAACTTTTAAGTACAGTTATTATCTAAAGAAAAATTCAGAACCAATTCCAAAGAGTGGCAAGGTTCTGATTTTTTGTTGTTGAGAAGAAACAAGGAAAGGAATGGCAGACTCCCTTTCAAACAATTTTGGCATGATAAAACATCTAGAGCTACAGGTCAGCTGATAAAGTATGTCATTATACTTTCTAAGAATGATCTTGAGGTCAACGAGATTGATTTTCAAGGTGTTAATTAATGAGTTATATGCTTTGAGGAGTTTTTGATGACAAATTAAGGGAAATTCCTCTATGTAGTTTTCCCTGAGAGACTAGGCAAACAGTTGAAAACAGAGCACAGGTTAGTTTTCTTTCTTTTTTTACAGGTTAGTTTTCATAACAATATATTAACCAAAACTGTCACATGATCTTAATAAATTTTAAAAGCTGGCTTGCATTAGGTATTCAACATTATCCAGAAATCCAGGTATTCAATGTTATATACAGTTATTTGTCAGATCTTAAATAATTTATTATACACTCATCAACATTTTAGTTACTTCTATTTTCATTTCCCTATTTCTAGAAACAATAGCTCATGCTACAAAACATCTCTTGTATACAATTTTCTTAAATATCACTAAACCTAATTTAGTAATGGACAAGATTGAAATTACAGCTGCTACTCTTAGGTATTTAAGGCAAATAATAGTAGCAGCCCACAACCTCATCTCTCAAATTACTTTAAGGCAGCAGAGAGAAGCAAAGGTCTCTTGATTTAAGGTACATGCATAAGTGGAAAATAACGTGCATCAAAGATCAGAGGCTTTTTATAGATGGCTTAGGAAATAGACTAAATACTGTTTAGTGAAAAGTCATGAAATCCAGAGGGAGTGAAATCTTCCATCTACCATTAGCATCAGGTCCTGATTAAGTTCAAAGACTTACAGATATGTGTTGTTTAACATCTACAGTATTTCTGTGAAATAAAACACTGTGATTTGACCTACTGTGTGAACATCCGTGACAAGGGGCTTCAGGGCTATGTGGTGTACACCCTGGCAGCTTCAGCGGCCGACACCATAGGCTTTCTGCCCAGGTGTTCCCATCTTCTCTGCTAAGCAAGGAAGGTCAGGCCACCTGTGAAAACCTGCCTTCACCTGCTTTGCTTGGGAGAGGGCAGTGCACCCCAAGGGCATCTGAGTCAGGCTGGGGAACACAGGGTGCTTATCTTTCCATCTTAGCCGAGGACCACACCAGGCAAAAGGTCAAAAATAGACCAGCTGAGTTTCAGGGAGCTAAGAAAGACCAGAATTTAGTCTGAGACTCTGCCACTTGTAGATGAGGCTTCCGGACCCACAAGCAGGAAGTGGGGCTCTGACTTCAAGAGAGGGTCTGGCATCCAAGCACTCAAAGACACTTGGGAGTGGCGGCCCAGGACCTGCATATATCAGAATCAGCCCATAGAGATGATGTTGTTGTTGTTTAATGCCGTTGAGTTGTAGACGACTCATAGCGACCCTATGAACGAACAGCCTGAGCACTGTTCGTACATAGAGTTTCCAGAGGCAAGCCATTTCGGAAGTGGATGCCGCTCCTGCTTCCAGGCATAGAGATGATAAGCAACATATATACCTGTATAGTCTTGTGACAGAGAAGAACCTAAACAGTAATAGAACAAACAAAACTCTTTTTTAAACAGTCACTGGACAAAAAAAAAAAAGTACACTTCAACTATCCTAGTATCTATTTTGTCCTTATATGAAAAGTTACTTGCCTTAAACAAAGAACAGGGGGGAAAAAAAAGAAGTAAAAACTTGATCTCATCTGCTTTCTCTTGCTATGGACCTTTCCACATGGTGGGTAGGAAAATCTCTGTGGGTGGTAAAATCTTGCTATTTTACTGGCACACATGAACATGCTTCTGATAATATACCTCATCAAAAAGTAAATTCCCCCCAAATTATTGGATCTTTTGGAAAACAGACAAACTCTCAGAAAATGCAAACAAAACTAAAGTTAAAACACTTCACGTTTTCTGCTACATTGTAAGGTGATTTTAAATGGCTCAACCTGTGTTTCATTTTATTAAACAGTACTGATGGCTGTTCTTGCAGAAAGGGGCCACATGCTAGAAGCTGATACACTAGACCTAATTTTTAGTGTCTCCCTTTTTTCTTTTTTTTAAAAAAGGAGAGTTCTTTGATTAAAACAAAAAAAGCCCAAGAAAACAAACTAAAGGGTATGCAGTAGGTGGTAGGTGGTGGGGAAGGCAAAGTATAAAACTCTAAAGTAATTCAGGGCTCAAAAATGGTTTTTCAGGAAAAAAAAAATCTTTTTCCAGGCTTATATACATAAAAATATACCTAAACAACATGTACGTTGTAAAAGAAACCAAAGATAAATTTCTTTGCCAACTCTAATTCTGTTCAATAATGTATCCTAAATAATCTTTGGAGGAAATTCTGGTAAGAGCTCTGCTCAATTTGCAAATAAAATGTTTCTCAAGAATGAAAAATAATAAAACACCTATCACTATAGTTCTAGAAGATATATATCTGATAAATTAATATTTTAAGTTCTTGACATATTTACTCATCATAAATAAAAGTCTATATTATTCTTTGTACCCACAAAATCTTCCAGAGGAAACGTCACAATTGGCC